CGCTCAACGCTGTTGACCAAACGGTTAAATCATATGTTAATTGTGAAATTAAAATCATTTTTCCAAAATCCAAAACTTTTATCTGTCACAGTATGAGCAACACATCTAAAACAACTCGATGAGTAAGCTTTTACTGTGTTAAGATATACCCAAGGAAGAAACGTTTCGTACAATATTCCTGTAAGGATTAATTACAAAAGCATGCATTAACTCATAAAACAGCCAGCAACTGTATCAATACCAACCATATTAAGCACCCAATGATCGAAATAAGAACTAATAACACAAAGTATGTAAACAGTTAAAAATGGATAAAGTTCTAATGAATGTACTAGAAATTAAAGTAACTTTTAAAAATGTTAAGTAAATAAGGTTACAGCAGAGAATGGATGAATGTCACCAGTTTAAGTAAATACTTAGTAAAACCGCACAACATTAGAGGCTTAAAAATGCTTGACCGTGATATCACTTGCCAAGTGATATCACTTCCGATCAACTGTTCTTTCGGGTTTTCACTGATCAATTTACACATTTGTTTCTAATACTAATGATCAATGTAACTCCTATTTTGACCCATGGTTTTGACACGATCTTACTGAAAAATAAAAGAATCTATTTACATAGCCCTTTTCTTGCTAATAGCATCATTTAATAAGATTAGTTGTTGCATGTTGACTGAAAACTTATGAAATCAAGCTCCTGATGACATTTAGTAACAGTCGTTAAAAAAACTGACTTTTGGTGTAAGCTAATCAGGAACAATGTTCGAATCAACCAATCGAAAACAGCAAATATGGTTAGTTGGTTTATAATTATAGGGCCAGGAGTGTTACCCTGGGTTATGAGGTTAGGTTCAGAATTAAGAGCTAAAACTTAGGGTTATGATTTACCACTCAAAGTTAGGATTTCTTATTAGAGTTGAAATTAAAATGTAGAATTCATAATTTCAGTTAGGATATGCAACCAGTCATTTATTGACACAGGTATATTATGTATTTCAAATACTAGTACGTATAATAGTATTTTAGTAATGCTTTTTGATGAATTCATAAAAACAGACGATGAAAAACAAATGTAGTTTTATATTGCTGATTTTATCATCTTACTTGTAGAAAATCATGAGTGTTGCTTAACAACTGTTCATCTATGAGTCGAATATCTTTTGCAAATCTGTTTAATATCCGTCCTTCAATTGAAAGATAAAAAAGGAATTAAAGGTCACCTCATAAAGCGAGAATAATTATTTTCCTAGTCGAATTTAGTAAATTTGTGAACTACCTAGTGAGAATCGTGCGGGAACGGAAACGCTTTCGCATATGAATAAATGATGAATAGGTTTGCATTTGACTGTTCAAACGCTGAATAGGGAGACTTTTAACGTAAAAATATGTTGCGTCTTCAGTATATCATTTGTAAAACTTTGTGATGAATCATTCCCTTTCCTACTAGGATTACATCATTCAGGACCATTTAATAAATCAGTTGAAATCATTTTTCATGACTTACGACTTTTCAATTGTATCTGGAAAGCATATTAAATAAGTGAATATTGAGGTTTTAACGCCATTTGAAAACTGTAACCTTAGTTATTGTTTCGAAATGTTTTTGAGATAACCAGCCAGAAACCAATATGACTATTTTCTATTTAGAATTTGTGGAAATAAATAGATCCAACTGTATTAGACTGTCACGTTTTCATTTCTACATTTATTTGTTCTTCATGATCAGTATGAAAAAATGTTTGGTTAAATTGATACGGATCGATAATGATCAGCCGAAGTTTATCAAACAGTATAACATATTAAAGTAGTAAATTTCAAACAAGTTCATTACACAATAACCCGTTAAGACATTCTCATATTAAAAAAGGGATCACAACAAATAATGCAGAATTACATGAATTTCTTTTAGTTTGTAGTTGCTCTTTAGTTGCATACAACTATATTTGTACCAAAATATAGGATGTAATGAAATAATAGATTTTAGTGATAAAAAATTGAAATGATGGTTCAAAATTAATTAGGTTGATGGCATAATGACTAAACAGTTTACATATATTTTACAAATCGGTTAATTAAAAATCATACATGAATGAAAAGATAATTTTCAAATACATGAAATAACAACTAGCTTAGTGCAGAGTACGCATGAAAATACATATCAGTAATAACAGTTATGAAAATCATTAGAGTTTTAGGCATAAACTGTGGATTTATCAAAAGATATTTGCACTAATGTTCGAATACAAAAATCTGGTCCGAATTTTTCAACCGTTACCTCTTCACCAAAGAGCTATTTCTACCTATTAGTCTTAAATTCCTTTCAGCGTTCTTGGAAATACAAAAATGCATTCTCGTCTCTTTCATCTTTATGTATGTCCCGTGATATATAAATGTAAATCGAAATACGTAGTTAAAACAACTGAGCAAAGAAAACCCATCAATTTTGCTGTGGTTTTAGAAGCGATTCATTTCGAATAAAGTGATCAGCCTTGCTGCCGGATTCGTAGTGTGATATTTATTCTATAGTTTCGTATCCTCCTTTGAAGCGATGATCAGGAAAGAAACTTTTCTTTTTTAAATGTATCATATCTGATTCGTTCGTTTTGCCACACTTATCGATCGCTTTCGGTGAGCATTTATTTTCACGTAGACAGTTTTTAATGATTGCAAGCAATTCTTCCAGAGTTTACTTGGAGATTTAAGAAGGGTTCATATAATCCCCTTTTTAAAACCTATTAGATGGAAACTGCTACAGTTTAGATAAAATCTACTTCATATATTTTTTGAATAGACATAACTTAATGACTTCTTTACCGAATGTCATTGACTCCCAAGATCTAAATAAAGGAATATTCCTTTATCCTAAAGTTCCATAATAAGTTCTTTTTCATTGAGTGATGCGTCAAAAAGATTAGTCGATGTGTAAAATGTTTCAGATTGTTAATGACAATAGATTTACCCTCAACATTTCTGCACTAGAATACTGTTTTATCGACTGCACTTTTTCCAGATTCTCTATCATTAAATTAGTTAAACTAGGTTCAAGGGGCTGCTTATAGAGGCTTCATCAATATGGCCATACCTTCCACATACTTTTCGTACACATGAGTTGTTTCAACTCATCACTCTCTGAACGAAGGAGGTCAGGATATTGACATATGATTTCCCAAGTTTCCGTCAAGAATATGTAAACATGTATCTATAATACTGATAATTCTTGTCAGTACAATTTTCTCTGTCACCAATGTCTATTACGCCACTTTATCATAAGATTCAGTACGAATACATTTATAAGTAGCTGAAGAGCAACAACCAAATAATATAAATTGATATTATTCTGTATTAATTATTTTTATCGTTTTATCCACATTAATATGATAAACTACCTGTACTGAACTCGACAGTTAGAAAAAGCAAAAATCAAATGTCATAAGAAATATAAATAACATCAATCGGGATATCAGAACTTAATCAGCATTACAGAGTTATATAAACCACATTAATATATAATTCAAACCTCCACAAACACTGAACCTAATGTTATTCTATTATTTAAAATTTATTATCCTCATTAACTTTGTTGTTCCACATTACCTAATTTAACAAGCTTGGCGTTCATCTATCATAGAAATAGTTTAACAAGTTTATGTGTGATAAGATTGGACTAACACAGACATGAAAATCTAACATTTTAAATACAAATGGAACGGATATTCTATGTGATAGTAAGTGGCACATTCAATGAATCTCGGCTAAAATATACGTCTCATTGAAAGTAATCAAATGCACTAGAAACTGAGACTAAACAACGCAAACTAAAAGCATGAAACAATAATCTACACTTTCATTTCATAAAGACCCTTGTATGAGAAGTAAATGAAGAGTGGATGCCTCTGAAACCACGTCAGTCATATCATATACAGTATCTCTATCAAACTGAAAATGTCACCTACTTATATCCACATCTCATTTTTTTAATTCAAAACTATTCTAAATATCGAAAATTACTACCCGTTATGTATGGTGGAAAAAAAATGCATGACAACTATTCCTAATTTAGATAAATTATTTTGGTAATAAACCTCAGGGGGCTTGTGCAAAATGAAAAAAAATTTTTAAGTAAACAACAAAAACTTATAAATATGTCAGGTATTACCTCTCAAACATAAGTGATCGGCTAATCGGTAGAATACTAAAAATAAATTTAGGTCTGAAAACTGATTTACTAAACTGTTAAATAATCATCAATACAGCGTTTTGCTCAAAAAAGTAGATTGAAAAACTACGTAAATCTTCAATAAAATGCGATTTTTCCAAACCAAAGCTATTCATATTAAATAAACGTCAATTACAGATAAAATTCACTAACCTGATGAGTTCGATTCGAAAAACTGTAGTCTAGTTGACAGAAGGGCTTTGACCATTAATTCATGCAAACGTTTTGCAACACAAATCATTTGCTATCAGAATAAAAAACAAAAATGCACACGATCATTTAAAGTATTCACAATTCATCTCAATCAAGAGATAACAATTAAATATCCCATTAATGTTCGGACTTTTCACACAAGCTGTTACTGCATCACATAACATTTGTATGAAGCAGTCAAAACAACAACCATTTGTCATGTACATTCAGTGTTATCCTAGTTGATGCTGCCATCTTTTTCACTACTAAGAATAAAATGAAATATAAAAAGTCTCATTATAGATTACAATCAGTCACCGAATATGCAGCATAGTTAGTATTCTCCTCGTAGATAAATTTCGCATTTATAACATTGGTATTTTAGACTTTTACACTTATCCAGCTGTGATGAATTATAGAATAAATGTAACGATCATTAAGCTTTAATATTGCTGTCTCAAAGGTTATGAGACAATGTGTAGGTTCAATGATCACGAATTGTACAGTTTACACTGTACAGCTCACACAATACAACGGAATATCAAATTGTACTAGAATCGACAAACTTAAACGTAACTTCCGTTACTTACTTTGAAAAATAGCAGCGTTCGTGTTGTACTCAAAAACACCAACAGTCCAGTGAGGATTACAATTATGTACATATTTACAAAGTTGTCATTCAAATTCCACGTTCCTATAAAACTTGATGAACTATTAACAAGTGAACTATTCAAATCGTTACGGTTATCCACGATACGAATCCTATTATACGATAAGTGAAAAATAAAATCATAAACATAATCATAGCATTTTAACAATAATTCATATCACTACTGATAAACTTATTGATAATGGAGAATAGGGAGATTGTAAAGATTACTGAACATTCGTGTATAAGTATCCCACATTGATCCTGGTTAAAGAACTATTGAAAATCAGGAAGCACTGAACAGCTGCACGAACCTCACAGGCTACCAGGGATCGAACAAAGCACCTAGAGTCTCACAGCGAGCACATATCTTCCAGTGAATATTCAATCCGAAGCTAGTCTCAGTCATGTATCAGAGACAAATAGAGAACCAGTTTGAACAATGGAGTAGTAAACAGCCACATTGTCCTGGCCTAGGCTCTCCATAAAATACACAAACTACACCATAATTTGAGCATACGAGATCCAGAACAAAATCTCAAGAAAAAACGAAAATTGAAGTGATCTTGGTAAAATACCCAAAGTAACACGTTCGACAGATATGACTCTCATAGTCTGCGATAGATCATTCAAGAGATAAACGAAGTAGTAATAACTGTACCTAAGAAGTAAAGTCGCACCCCATAATCTTATACGACTCTAATGCTATGGCCGCTGAATAAAAAGCAAAGCCAGACTCCAGTGAAACACACTTGCTAAAATCAAATATACAAAAAGACAAATGAAAAACTAAGTAGACTATATTAAATTTACCATCTTGCTATCCACAAATCGAATGCTGCATAAACAACAGTTGTAAGGACAAACAATAGAAGAATCAGTATCCAGCAGCAAAAACTACCAGATATTCGACCAAAAATTAAATAACATTCCCATCCAACTTTTCCATGTCTAAGATTTTCGACCGAAATGGTTTTGTCCCTCTTATGATGCTCTGAAATATCACCATTGTCAATTATTTTACGATTTGATTCTGCTTCACAGATAACACGATTTTCAAACACGCTTGAGTTGATTGTTTGTAGGGATTCGTAAGATCCAGTGGTAGTTATAGTCCTGACACTCTACAAAAAATATAATCCAAAAATGTGTCACAACTCATTCAAGATATTGATCACTTTACGAACCAATCTACATTTTCAGAAAATATGTATTTTAACGGAATTCACACTACGGAAATAGTTGGTTGGTTGCAATCATCAAACAATCATCTGTTAATAAGATCGAATGCTTAACGCACGTTGAGTGACCATCGAAAAACAGAATAGTCGGATCTCAAAAAATTGGAATAAAACTGGATTTTATTTACAAGAGACGCTAAACACTAGTTTCGATATTGAGATTGCTTAGACCACATCATTTAAGAAGATAGTCTCATTTACAAAATGAAATGGAGGTCAATAGAATTTATACCATACATAGAAAACTATTAGTGTTCATAAACCTTGCAGGTGAATTATACTCTTTAAATTGTTCCTCTAAAATATATGCATCACTAAAGACTAACTCTATCACTGTCTGTCAGTGGTAAAAAAGGTTTCATCAAACTTTAATCCTATACTATAAACGGTTGATTTAACCAAAACAAGAAACATAAAGTCTCACAATAACTAAAAAATTTAGAACTATATGACTGGCACAATAAAAAAGATCATTCAATGCATACACTTAAGATAGATAGATCTAAACCTAAAGTGGCTTATCCAATATTTCAGCGACTTGTAGACGATGACTCAACAATATCATCAGTCTCATACATGTAGTCCATTCCGCATGATCTGAGTTTAGTATTTTGACGGAAATAAGTATCATTGCAACGACAACTAGAAAGCAAGTAACTACATCATAACAAGACGTTAAATAATCACAAATCGGTTTTGTTACGTATACAGAATTTAGGATCCAATTATACAAGAAATAGTATTCTCTTACTTTCATCGCAGTAGGTAAAATCAGAGAAGCTTGAAGGGATTTTTCATTCTCGGGTGAATAATCTTCTACATAATGTTTATGAACCAAAGATAACGACGAAAGCATCATCCCATCTGCCAAATAATCTTCCAACAGCCTTGGTGACTGCAGAGCTGAATTACAGATGCTCTGCTTCTCAGATCTAAAACTTAGAAAAGTCTTTGATAATCGTCTGTCGAATGCATCAAATGTCCTGCTACTTCTCCTTTCATCAAAACCAACGTCTGACAGTTGGAAAATTCGATCGTCAGTTGGATGATCAAAGAAATTGCAAATAAAGTCATCCGTTCGCAACTTCATCGTTTGCAGTTCTGTATAAGTGCCAAAAAATGCAATTTCCCCCTAGAATGAAAAGTACCGAAATCTAGAACAAAGTTGCCCGAAAATAAACAATAAAACACGTGATCCACTGTTGTATTTAGACGTTCTGTGTATTCCTACCGAATATAAAATACATATTTCACCCATTGTCGGTAGGAATACAAGCACGAACTAAACTCTGTCCGGAGAATATCACTATTTCTGACTGAGTACACATCACATTATGACCAGGATAATGACAAGACGAAAATGTTTATTTCAGTCACCACACTGCTTTTGAGGATCGACAAACTTCGGATAACGAATACCTTACTTTACAAGTAGTCCACATACTTTTCACTGAATGAGTAATATACTCAAATATGCATAAACAAGGAAATTAAATGACAATCAGTCAAACATTCTCCTGCAAGAAATAAAATGCAAAAATAATTTGTTCAAATACATTCAAACAGATCATGTTATTGTTTAACCGAACCCTTGCACGGTTGACCACTTATGCAAAACCGAATTGGCTACCGAAAATAAACAATTCACAATAATCTTTCTCCACATACTGTCTTCTTAAGTTATTCCTCAAAACAACAACCATAAAATGTTGAATTCATCATGATGAATCTTTCGCCTCTTCTAATTTACAAATTACAATGGTCTCATATGATTGTCGTTACAATGTTTGCTTACATTTCAATTCCCTCGAATAACATCCTGTGAACTAGAAACACCATAATTCGCCCTGAATACCGTTATGTGTAAAGGCATTCAGTTTCATGTAAACTAGTGAAATTGTTTTGGCAACTAAGAGACACTTTTAAACTAGGCGAGATGATTGTGCAATCCTACAACATTTACACATCTATCAACAAACAAACAAGCAAACTAGATTACTAGATTACCTCTTTTAGAACTAGGATTCTGTCCATACAAGGCAGAAGCTGGTGTTGATGAGTAACAAACAAACGAAGTCTATCTGACAAAAAGTCACAAATGCACTTCTGAAACAAGTGATTTGATACGCGAGCATCAACCGCTGCTAACGGGTCATCTAATAGTAGAATCTTCTGACGAGAATACGCTACTCGTGCCAAAGCTATGCGAGCTTTTTGACCACCACTTAAACCAGAACCTCGTTCTCCAACATATGTCCTGTCTCCGTCAGGAAACATGGCTAAATCCTAAATATAAATAGGCGAAGATACATTTTCATCAGAATGAAATAAATACCAAGAAGATGATATGAAAAACAATGTTTATACCGCTAACTATTGTTTGGTGTTCTGAGGTAGCTCAAATTCTTTTGCAATTTCAAATCCAAATTATTTTATAAATATTCAATGTGAAGTGCTCGCTTCAACAACCGAGGTTTTTTCTATGCGATTCGAATAGCTGTGTCTCCAATTCTCAAACACTTTTATGGTATATACTAAATATCTATTGTGAACACAACTACTCCCTTACTGACTTTTGCTATAGTGAACGAAGACCAAACACCAAATGAGATCAGCTATTTGGTGAAGAATACACAATCTCCTAACCAAAAAGTGTACACATTATCATTAAAAATCCGTTTGCAAAACAAGCGTATTCCTGGCTGTCTTCTTCCACATGTCTTCCATTCCTCAAAACACCCCAGATCACCACACTAAAAATATAAAAGCTGGATATTTTAGTGACACATGACTGGAGAGAGTTGATAGAGAAAGTATACAACATAGCAAAATGCCGAATCAGATCAAGCCTTCACATACTCTATCAAAACGACGACACAAACAAACGAAACTAATGAAATTGAACAATAAACAACCAAATTAAAAATGACAAGATAGTTGAGACACATTTCTATCACACTGTATCTGTATCAACCAAACAGTAAAAAATCTCAAGAATTGGTCAAACCGAGATTAGCGATACCATTTATTCTATCAATATCCAGGATGTTCAATAACTTTCACTTACAGATCACTGTGACCTCTTGCCAGATGTTTGTATCTACAAACGCAGTTCCGATGAACTTCATCTCCTTGTATTATCTAAAGTTATCATCCGCACTGATTCTCACATATCCAAGGAAAAGAAGATTTATCTGACTTCATTCATGGTTTGCTTATTATCAACAAAAGAATACTCATCACTATTACTCGTGAAGCACTTCAGAATGAGAAATTTCTAAATAAACTTATGCTCCAGTATTTTCCATTATGTGTCACCAGTATTGATATTTTTCTCTAAATTGATAAACGAGACTTTCAAGTCTGTTTAACTTGGTTTTCGTCGTTGGTGTGAAGACTGATCCAAATAGGAAAAACCTTTTTGATCTACAATCCAAATACGACTGTTAATCGGTAATCAATAGGATCTACTGATCTCACTTTACAACAATTTATTTGCATTTACTTATTCTCAAAAATACAGTGTATCAGTTCAGCTTGATTCTACATACCAGAACTTCTATCAGCTCGTTTTTATTTCAACGTTGTCCAGATGTCAATTCGACGTTCTAGTATAGCAAAAATGATACAGACCTTCAACGTAATATCTACGTATTTTTAAGAATTGTTTCAATAGTAAGAAGTGTTCATCTACAATGTTTTTTCTCAAACATCTTCAAACTTAAAATGCTAGGATCTTGTGGAAAACATTAGAATTCATGGTTGAGTGAACTTACGACATCTAAACTAGTCGCCTTCAGTACAGACGCATACCGGTTTGACTCAAAAGGAAGATTACAAAGTATGTTTTGACGTATTGTTCCAGGCAATATCCATGCGGATTGTGGAAGATAAGCTATGCTGGACGATCTGTAAACTTTCCCGTTAGAGAATGGCAGCTCTCCCAAAATGGTTTGTAAGAGAGAAGACTGCAAGTAAAGTTAAACAACCAATAGCCTAAATTAGATTGACAATTACTAATCTTTATTTTCACAACAAAGTCAACAAATAAATCTTTCACAATATCCCAGGCACTTGATAAAACTTACTATGGTCTATACTCAGCTGCACAGTTAGCTTTGTTCGACAAGGAGTAATAAGGTTGCATGGTAGTAAAATATTACTCTGTGGTCATAAAACACAGAGCTTTGAAAGCTTTTCTTCTCTGGATGACGAATACCTAGATGCTACCTGAAATTCCAAGATTACAGTGTTTCAATCCGTACCTTTTAGTGTCATCAAGCATATTCGCGTTATCATACTTATGGACTATTAGCTTTAATACACTTGCATCACTGTTGATGCTCGAATCAACCCTCAACCAAAGTAGCCTTGTCGTGAGGCACTGAGGAGTTCTTCTCCAGACTGAGACACATTATTTCACAACTAGAATACCTCTAAATGGCTATAAGTGCATGTATCTTCCTCCGACTGTCTCGTGGAACAAAATGATCGATTCCTGTTTAGGAATTCAGTTTCATAAATGTCAAGTAGTTGAGTTGATTGCAGAAATATGGTTAACACTTCCGAACTCGACAACTGTCTCTGGATATTACGTCAAAATCAAACTACTCAATAACGTGCAAACAACAGAATACACAGCAGTCGGTAATGATAACTAAAGCAGATTTACCGGTGCTCGAATTTCAAACTGTTAACCCATCAGATCGCTTATCGTAGTCCTTCCACACACAGTTTTCAACCACCCAGCTATCGATTTCATCTTACTGCATAAATCGAAAACCGAAGACAAGGGAAACATCACTGTTATTTCTCAAACAAAACAGTTACTAGCGCCATCAACAAACGACATACATGTATTAAGTGAATATTGATGAAACTATATTAATGTAACGCACGACTAATACAGAAATAACTTTGCATGCTACTTCACTCACTATAATAACAATCTTAGACAGAAGAAGTTTAAACACTCACCTTTCCACTACCTACAGTACCAATGATACCAATCAGCTCACGACCACAAACCTTAAAATTAATACTATTCAATGTAAGTTGTTTTACATTCTTTAAAAATAAAAAAACAACACAACGTAAAACAGGATTAGATTGTTCCAAACGATGTATATCAAAAATGTGATTGTTTTACTTACATTAGTCTTGTTAGGTTTTTTCCACTGTTTTGTGGAATGTTACACACTAAACCGATACACAGTTGTGTCAGATCCCATAAAGGTTATCTCTACCTGTTGATCAGACAAGCATCAATTCAAACTATTAGAATTATATACTTGCTGACCTTAACTGAGAAGTAGATTAGGGCTGTACGATAACCCACATGTATTTAATCAATATTCACAAATCAAGCAGAATATGTATTACCTGGAGAGATACCTTTGGTGTAATTGACTTCCTGTCTTTCATAAGCCCTAAGAATATTTCGTCCAAACTAATTGGTCATTCTACATGAATCACGGGTAGCCCCAAACATTTGCGATCAAGTGCAGATTCCCGTATTCAACAGTGAGTTATACGAAAAAGTGTTGAAGTAAGTAATATCAACCAACTCAATAAATCAATTTTGATGAAGTATGGTAGGGAACCTACAATTCACTGGTTATGAATTGAATCTAGCATTTACGCTGAAACAAACGCACAAAGTACTGGCTATATTAATAGGATTTGGTAAGACTTGGGAACCAATGTTGTCAGTATTTCATAGGACATTGATTTGGTTACTGAGTCTATGTTTTTCCAGTCATACAGTATTTTGCATTTTTTCATTTGTACATTAAAAACATCAATAATGGATGTTTGAAATAAAAACAAATCTAATCTGTTAAACACAAATGGTCTCGTTTCAAGCTGACACAGGTTTGAATCAGCTTCCCCTCACTAACATATTAGATGGTGAATGGTTCATTATCACGTTAAGTAAACATCTACCGGTTTAACTAAATAATGACCTCGATTTCCGATTTTCAGAAACAAACAATCAATTTGAGAAATACTAAAATCTCAAACTTTTCCCACCAATAAAGACCATCATAATTTTCTTAGGAGCAATTTCTATATTCCTGTAAAATAATTCGATCCAATGTATTCAAGTTTCGCTCGTCTCCAAGTAACCAGTCGAAAAGTGTAATCAAAAGGCAACCACATTAATTCTTTTGTAAATCTTTAAGATACATCAGTCTTATTTCTTGACGATGAAAACAACTCACCTCACCAGTAATCAATTAAAGGTTTTTTGTAAATAGTCTTATCTCAACACCTAAGCAATAACTGTCATTACAGGGTTTTGGAGATTGTTGTGCTTCATTGAAATCATGAATTGATCAACGCCAGACCACCATTAGGAACCAGCAACCACTGAATCACACATCGCTGATTACTCCCATACCAGGATAAAACGGTCGGCCAGTGCTTCCAGGTTCCAAATGGCTGTCGAGCATTGATCAACTCATGATTTCAGTGAAACTTTGTAGTAAAACAAAAAAAACACTGTGATGGATGTGTAATTACAACGCAAAAACTAACTCACATAAGTACAATAAAAACAGGTCTCATTCAACAAAAAGCATGTCTTTAAATATTACTTCTAATCAGAAAATTTATCTACCTCAAGTAAATCAAATACACAAAGTATCTATGAGGAATTAGAATTTCTGTTGGTACATTTTATAGATGAACTACAAAACAATTGAAGAAAACAACTGATAGAGGGTTTAAATCATTTCAAGTTCGCAGAATTACACTCACATCTTGCCATCGTGAACACACATTTGTCAACTCTACAACTTGTTCCTTTGAATTATTCACTTGAGGGTAATGATCATTTCCTAATTCAGGCAACAAAAGGAATTGCTTCGAAAACAAACAAAAAAAAAATAAAACACTGAAATGAAAGCGATCAAAAAATTGTTTATTCAGTTAAGCAAAACTATCAAAGTAATATATGCTTGCACCTACTGACCTTTAATTCATCAACCAAATATTTATTTCAAAGTTACTTCAAATAATTCTATGGTTTAATGTTTGCAGTTAGGATAAACATTCAAAAATATGTGAAATTTGCCACCTACAGTAATAAAATAATACGCTTACAATATCCGGTTGAGTAGAAAATTAAATTTCTAACACTCTGTAACTATGTGTAAATCGCTTCTCTAAACAATGAGTAAATGGCCGATTTAGCTGGGCACAAATTTTAAATAGTACAAAGTTGGAAACTTAATAAATATCGAAATAGATCCACTGCGTCAGTGAAGAAGAAAGAAGGCAATTCAGAGAACAAACCTTTTATTTATTTGAGCTGTACCATCGTATTTACAGTTGATTTTATTTGCTAAAATAGTAGTCTACAGTAAAATAGAATAATGTTCAATAACTAGAAACAAACATGAAGTGGTGTCATATAATGCACCGTTTACGAAAATCATCAATTAGAAAGAAATCAACTATGCTATAATAGGCTGGTGAATATTGTCAAGGTATAGATCGATGTCCAATCGGTAGATAATGGTTAATAAATAGTTGTGAAAATAAATCGAAGGGAACAGAAATAATAATTTAAGAAGAGACAGATTATGGAAGATTAAAAGGACAGGTGAGACCACAGAAGAACAAGAGACTGAACATACCGTTTCTGACTGTATTTATAACTTTAAAGGAGGTTTCTGTTGAACTGGAGTGGCGAGAATCGACGAGACGCTGTAGGATTGAGCTTTTGACTGACTTTTGTAATCGTTCGAAAACCAGCTCGTTTCTTGCTACCAGTATAAGCTGCTGCTCCACATGAGTAGGTAAACTGATAGATTCACATCGATTTTGTCCAAAGAGCGAGCTTATTCTTCACACAGTTAAGAATCATGGGCCGACCATAAAATATAATTTCAAGTTCAACTGTATCGATTTTTTTCTCGAAAATCTTAAAAACATCCTTTCGGAATCTCTGCTGCAGTACCACTTTGAAACTGAATACTTATGAAGACAGTCTTTTTCAGTGCTATCGACACTATTTCGCCATGTTCTTTTAACTTCGGATTTTTCTCAACGAATCTAAGTGGACATCCACTACTACAATTTTAGCAAATAGAATTACCTGCAAACACAGTCGTACTGCTTAAGTAAATGAAATCGTCGAGAAAATAGTTTTCTACGCTGAATTGCCTCTTCTCTTCTTCAATGTCATCATATGAAACAATTAAAAACATTTACATGAACTGACCTATTTTCGATCGAACTAAATAATCTGCATGGTTCTGTCGAAATAATTAAACTTATGTTAATGTATTTTAGTTATTTTCTCAATCTATGAGAAGCAACCTAAACCATGTCGCAAAACGTCGGAAATCTATTAGGAATTTACCCATCAATTTAGTGTTACAATCAAATGGAGTTACATAGTTACGACAAAAACAAACTGTTTAGGAAACACTTACTACATTACAGTTTGCCCCAAGTTCTTAACTGTCTACCTCCAATTCACTGAAACACCGCTAATAAACATACTGCATCACTAGTGTGAATTCCATTGTGTACACACTCTTGTTTACATTGACGTAGCAGCATTATTTTAAGTAATGAGACCAACTATGGCTTCCGAACATTTAAACCCTTAACAAACCAATCATTATAAGAACATTTCAGATAAATTCAATCAAATGCCTTAAAATGTCTGTGATCATTCACAAATTCTACTTAGAAAAACATAATTTCAATAAACTAATATATGAACAATTTCTTCATTGATTATCTTGCATAGATAAGACTCACCGAGATCCTCTTACTGACAACATACGCTATATTTATTTGTTCAATTGCTATGGGCATGAATAATATGACGGAAATAAATAGTGATGTGATGAAATTCATCAAAGTGAATAGCTGATAACTTCTGAGAGCTTCTGGATCACCTTCTCCTTTATGTAAAAGTAAAATTACAATCAATAAAGCCATCACTGTAACTTTCACTTGATAAATCAGCTGACTCAGTCTAAATGATTGAAAACACCGACCACGCATAAAAAGTTTGGTTTCTTTCCTAAAACAGAACATTTGAATAAACTCTCTCAAATTTATAATCCTACCTATTTAGACATAGTCAGAAAAATTCTATTGAACAACGTGCGAAGTTAAATAAATTCGGTTATAGGAATAAAAATGCATAATTTGTGTCAGACTCTAACTTCTCCGCCGGGTTTCACTTTATGCAGCTTTTCTGTATTTACTTTAATGAACTAGTGCCTGTTCGTCAATCCTTGATTGGTTGTCATGTATCGCTGTAGGCTCTAGACGATGTTCTAACTTTTTAATATCAGATTCTGACGACTGTTAGGATTCATCCCAAGCGAAACCCTTGATCATAATGTGAAGAACTTCCTGAATGGGTTTGAAGTTCTCACAACGCTCGTATGCCAAGTAGAGTCCCCAATCAAACTAAATAATTATCAAGTGACACAGTGAATGTTCCAAAAAGCAATTCAAGAGACAAAGGATTTTCAGCAATGATGCCTTTAGGTCATCCAGGAAATTCAGGTTTCATTCCAAGTTATTCTAATAACTCTGGAGCATAAAGCTGTTTTGTCAAACTTTTTGTAAACAAGGTAAGCCTAAATGGGTCACATTTTGTTTCTTATGAACGTGAATATTAAGTTTTTATATGCCTTTTGTGACCGAACTGAAAATCTAGGGAAAGGCGGAGAACGGAACTTGTATCCTATTATTCATGTACGTCAAAATCATATAAAAAATACCTCAAGTAGTATGAAAAGGTGAATGTTTCAATACTCACGTATAATGGAATTTTGGGATATTAGAGAACAAAGCAGATGAATAAAAAGATGCAGCTTTTTTGTTTGAGGAAGAGGAATATGCATTGGATGGGCCTAGGAACTGAAGTTCGAAAGATCCAAGTTTTTAAACGAACCCTGAGACGAAAATTCTGTCTACAATCTTCGATGAAGAATCGATATGCCAGAGGAATATGATCAGTCAATGCGCAAAGATAAGTATATCAGTCTGTTAGAATATCTGATTTTGATTCATACTCTGGATTTAACCATGTTGACAGCTTACATTCGTAACAAGAAATCATTGTTTAACCCTAATCTGGTTCTCAATTTTAGTTTAGATACGGTACGACTATATATTACGCAATCTACATTAGCGATCTATCTGGTGTATTACCTACCTACCCTAATGTCTATCATCTAGTGTATCAAATCTTACAACCAATTTTCATGTGTGTCAGAGAGAAGCATCATTTTTTTTAATGTAAAATGAAAACTATTTATTTACATAGGAGGTACAGTGAACAACTATAAGTCGGAACTTAAATAAATAAATCTTTTCGCCGAAATAAAGCGGGTGTCGAAATAACTAGATAATAGGATTCACCCGATAACGACACAAACATAAAGGCAAATTACATCAAGGCGATTTAATAATACAATAAAATAATGCTACAAATATTTTATTTGACCAGACCTAATGAATTAACAGCAAACATCAAAAGGAGTGAATAGGAATAAATGACAGAAAATTTAAAGATAACGTAACTGTATACAAAAAAAATTATGGTATCAGTGTGTGTGTGAAGCGACAGATCAACTCTTGGCTACTGTATCAGCGGTTTGTTGTATACAATGCCACCTCAACTTTTATTCAGGTAAAGTGGACAATTTAGTATGTATGACCTAATTACTAGGCAGTGGAGATTTTTTGAAGTCATACCATGGGATTTCTTCATTTTTGTTCTGAAAGAACTTCTTAAAAAGAACAGTACGGTATCAAGGTGATAGTGTCTTTATCCAACTTATTGATATTACTTATCTGAGCATGTGAAAATCCATCGATTTTGAGATGATAGAAACGAAAGTGTACATCAACTGATAAAAATCGACCTATTTCAAAAATCAAGTAACCAATAATATTCTCAACAAACTTTTCAAAGACAGGCAATTAACAAAAGAAGATAAATGGGGAAAAAGACGAATGGCATTGTTATTCTCTGGTTATGTGGTAGTCAAATATCCTTCTATGATCAATTTTCACACCCTCGAGGATCTACACATACAATAAAAATATCAAAGGCGTTAAGATAATTGGTTCACTTACATAATCACTACAGAAAATCTTCAACACAATTCTTGAATAAAATCAAAAATGTTCAAATCGGTGACGATGAATCAATAGCATTCTGTAATGTTACAACTGTATTCATCTCCATCGAACTAAATCCAGCAGACGACACTATATCCATGATCCTTACTAATGATATGAATCCTTCAGAATATATCAAACTTCATATTCAAAGCCTGATGGATTGCATTGACTTGTGTCTAATGGCATACATTCTATTCAACGGCAAAATATACAAACAACTAAACAAAAATTCAATGAGATAACCGATATCCACATTAATCCCAGAAACGATTGTGCCGAGGCTGGAAGTTGCAGACATACCAATGACCAAACCAAGAATTCGAAAACACTCTGTAGATAACAAATTCCACATCCTTATTACTCACAATTCGATTGATGGCGTCATTGATGAGGTAGAATTCAAATTATGAGTAGAATCAGATAACGAACTTTCATTTTTGAACATATTCAATAATAGAATCAATACCAGAAAACTAGAGGCTCAAGTATATCGGAAACCAGTTCATATCAATCAAATACTCAATTATAAAAGCGGCAACCCAATGGCTTAAAAAATAAAATGTATGCACTGTTTAAAAGAGTGAAGACACATTGAAGCACTCCCGTTACTAGAGAAACGAAATAAACTACCTAATGGATGCATTTCTGAAAAGTAGCTACGCATACAACTTTATCAAGAAATGCTTATCAAACCGACCATCTAATGCCAAATCAACAAATAAATAGTTTTACTCTACTTAAAGGACATCTCTGAAACCATGAACGGAATATTAAGACTACTAAGAATAGGAGTAGCTCATAAGCCGATATAATCATTTCAGGTTCATTGATTTTCTGAAAAAGGAACGGAGTTTAAATGAATTAAAAACCAAACAGTTGGTTGCAGAGATCTAATAACTGCTCGTAAAATGAAAATACAAGGTGACAGTTTTATCAGACTGATCGTACAATATTTGGGAAACAGACCGATATCAAGCTATTTACATATAATAATACATAAATTCTGCTTAAACACAAACATATCAAACTATTTTATACGAATTTAAAAGTCCAGTTGACATTTACACCTATATTACATTAATAAATCGCCCTTTTGATGCTTGCTGATGATTAGTTATATTTAGTCAGCTAATACATCAATGACAATATTTTATTGTTTTATTAGATTGACTTTTCGTAAATAGCATCATTTAATGCTCGAAATCGTTGACTGATATGCACCCTCATTGGAAGGTGCTGACAATTAACTTCAACTATAAATCATTGTTAATAATGACCCAAAGTTAATAGCATTGAATCTTTATTAATGCCAGTCATCAAAATTAGGGAAGCAAAATAATTATAATGACCTATATTCAAATTAACATTTCTATCAACGCTGTTGGGCCTATCCCACTATACAGAAGTATATTGTACACGTGAATCAACTATAATTTATGGAAGACTGATAATCACAAGTAATATATTTTATTACATTAAAAGAAGACTAATCGTGTTGTAAAATATTTTCATGACAATGCGTTAAGTTATAGTTAAAGTATAAACCAACCTCCGCAAGCTATGAACTATTTTCACAAATATATTTTCCCACACATGGACTTTTATCACACGCATACCTGCAATTATTTCTGCAAGAATGCGGATCCGTTGATCAGTTACGTCAGCAGCTTTAAGCCTAAAATTGAAAGCAGTAATCGTTAGATATGAAGGTGTAATTGGAGAAATTAGGTCTCAAGCAATTTAATACTCATCAGTTAGGCGTAACCGTATTCTTAGGGAACCTGACGATACCTAATGTATTTGATTCCCGGTCATCCAGCTTCCCAGTCACATCACAGACGTTAACACTGAGCTGTTAGAGTCATAAATCACCTCCGGTAAGACAGATGTATTTACAACTGTTTGATCAATGTTATATATTCAAGTCGTTCTTTGTAATGAATGAACTGCATTGATAAAGGTATAATAAAGCATAAAATCAATGCCAAATAAATGGGAGTGAGTTAACTTAAGATTACAGTAATTAGTTAGTGACATTTCTGCAGAACGGAAATCAAAACAGAAGTGAAATTTCGTAATAAATTGATTATCACAGCCAAATATATAGGAATAAAACTAGGAATTGATGGTGAATATAAATATTTTGTGCCTGATCAGTTCAGTTATAAGTAAGTAATAAAACACACTATGAAAATTAGTAAAGGATTATTAAACGGATTACGTTAAAAAAAATCAGAGATTTCAACAAAACTAAAAAGTTTTAAAAATTTGAAAACTTTTTAATAAAGGTAACAGTAAATAAAATGAAGACCACGGCAAATCAGAAGAATTTTAAATCCTTTTCTGTATACAAAGGTTAAGTTAATTAATATCCTCTTGGCTACTGTTATATGTACGAACCAGATTCTGCAATCATTGGCAAGTTCTATAAGATTCTACAGCTAACTTTAAAAACTAAATTTATATCGACTCAGTAACAAGCAACATCTAAATATACTAAAATAAATATTGGAATCTAATTGCCTGATAGTAGCCTCGTAATCCAGTTGAATGATCACCATAGAAATAGTGTCGATGAAATGTGCGTCCAAGACCAATGGCTTTATTAAGGCAAACTATACATCAAAATTGTGATAGTCAGCAATAACACTTGTAAACACCTGTTCTAATTAAAAAGATTTGTTGAATGAATCGAACAAATGAAGGGTCAGCTGATTTGGCGGTTCATGTAATAGAATAAAACGAATACATATAATTACTTTTAGTTCATTTATTAGAAGAAACATCGCCGGACCATTTTTTGACTAAATAAGAATCTATATTGCGCAAATATCTTTATTTTATGTGACTACTTATTAGACCTAAATTTGAACGCTGCTAAGTAAAATACTAGATTTTTACAGTTCATCAAAAAAAGCAAACAATTTTATTGATATGACATTTAACTCAAAGCAGCTACGATGACCACAGACATATTCCAAACCGGTGCCAGACAAGGTTGCTTCCCACACCCTTTCGCTTTCTACTGGTAGTTGACAGGATCATGAAAACCCCAACATCTCGTCTAAGGAGGAGCACGATGTACATTGAACAGCCTAAATGCAGTTGGATGGTCAGTACTTCGCGGACAATCTAGCTCGTCTATCCCATACTGAAAAAACAATGCTGATGAGTACGGCCAGTGTGGTGGCAGCCTCTTCAGCAGTAGGTCTCACCATGAACACAGGAAAAAGTAAGATCCACCGATGCAGTGCAACATGCACCAACCAAATCATGCTTGATGGAAGAACTCCAGAAGATATGGAAACCTTTATGTAGCTTGGCAGCAAATAGATGTGAAAACACAGACTGACAAATCAAGGGCATTATTTCTAAAATTGAAGAGTATTTGGAACTCAACTAACATCAAAGTCACAATTTGTATGGAGCAGAAGCTTGGAGAACTACGAAAGCTATCATCCAAAATATACAGGTGTTTATAAACAATTTTCTACACAAGGTACTCTGGATACGTTGGGCAGACACCATCAGAAACAACCCACTGTGGGAAAGTACAAACTAGATTTCGTCTAAGAAAGATATTAGGAAGAAGTGTCGGAGTGGATAAGGCGTATTGCAGAAGTCACCAAACTGCGTCGCGAGACAAGCCCTAATAAATGAATCCTTAAGGCCAAAGACCGAAGAATACTGCATCGGAAATTGGAGACAGACAATGACTGGGTAGAACTAGAAAGGAGAACCTAGGACAGAGTTGGTTGGAGAATGATGGTTAATGCCCTATGCTCCGTTAGGGGTAACACGCGTAAGTATGTAAGTAAGTAAGTAAGCTAAGATCCTAGTGGCTACATCTTTAAATTTTCGCTTACTATTTTGACCTTTAACTTTTTATTCAGACTTGAAAGATTCTGTCTCACATTCATCAATCCTCATTCTACGAACGCTGATTCTGTTTTACGCACACACATAATTGTTTATATGCTTCAACCATCTATGTGGAGCAACATTAGCATCACTACAACTTCCAAAACCTTAAGCATACACAGCAGATTTCTTAGTCAGCCATTTATTGATTCAGAAGTGACAAAAATAATTCTAGAATACCGCCAACTATCATGGCTTTTCTATTCTCCAGTTGCATGGTGACAATTTCCTTGTTAGACCACGGAGGATATAAAGATATTTAGAAAATCAAAAGACTTATAAATAGAACTACATAAGAAATACCAAGAGACCTTCATTTTGTGGATATTCCTGGGGAAAATTCAGAATAATCAAGTAAAGAATATATACCTCAGTTCCATAATTCCTTTGGCTCCAATGAGACTGATTTTTTGACTTAGTCTTTGTGTATTCGAACTGCTGAATACTAAACCAGTTACCTAATGCTTCCTTATTTCCATTGGACTTTAACATGCTAGTCCGTTATGAAAGGAAATCACGATTCTTTCAATTACATATACTCATCACAAACTATAAAGGTAATGGACACTAAAAAACATGGAGTAAATTTTACTTTCTTGACTATATCAATTCTAACTTTTAGCATGCGACTGTACAGATCGACATGATTTAGACATCTTGGTGTATTGTTTTCCTGTATTCTAAATTTAACATTGCATAGGTTTATAAAGTTACTGTCCATGTAAGAAACCAAAATGAAATCTGTGAATTGGAGTCCGATTTGTGAGAAAATATCATGAAAGTTCCCCTACTTTAGCGATTCAGTTCTACCAATATATCCATGTCTTACATTATAACTATTTTAGTGTTGTTGACTTAACAACATGACGAATGTAATTATTTTCAGAAATTGTTTTATTACACATATGAATCTAGCAGATATGGAAAACATTTCAAACAAACGTTTTGGGTAAGTGCATCATAAAAAATTTTTAGTCACGCCTTCACACCTTTTCTCAATACAGCGAATAGCATTAAACTTATGTAGAGACCATATAAGTTGTGAACAAAGTACAAGTCACTACTTTTAAAAATATTGATAATACAAGTCATTTCATACCTTGACTTTGCATATCCTCGGTTTAAAGCCATCTGAGCGGGTATAAATAAGAGAATAACTCCCACTGTAATCAAACTTGGGACAAAAGTGACCTGGCTCATTAAACCAAGAGTTATGACTGTTTGAAGCGGTCCAATCCATAAATAATGCACAAACAAGAATGTCTGAAAATATTATTTTAAAAAACTAAGTGAGGAAAAGTGTGAGAGTTGAAACATAATTTAACTCCCCTCTAAAATCAAAATATATTTCAGAAAATCAACATCTGTAACTTAGTCTACATATATCAACTACAACCACTGCCTTTTGCTGTCAATATTTAAATTTAGTCTAACTGTGTACCCAGATGCAGACAAAACTAATTAACTTTTTGCTGCAACGTCTCGTACACAGCTTGAAGTTCGTGTTCAATTCCTTAAATTGAAGTAGATGGAGTGTAGGTCAGACTTGCCACCCAACAGTTTCAGATTGAGTGTAGTAATAACTAAGGTACTCACCCATACATCTATAATTTATTGATAAAACGAGGTTTTGTGAAAGTATGAATAACTAAATATTTAAAATTGAAACTCTGACGAAGGAATATTATTCTTCTCATAATTCATTTGCAGCGGTATACATTTCTTTATTTGAACTTACAGAAAAGTTTTTTCAAATAGAATTACGGAAATTATTGTTTTAACACATTTGAAATCATCAATCAATCATTGGTAGACCACCAGGTATTTAGTGGTGGTCTAACAATGATTGATTGATAATTACAGAAAAGTGGCGAATAAATCATAGCTAATAAGTTTAAAAAAGTGATAATAAAACAAGTCGAAGTTAATAATTACTTCGTCAACTGTTACGGCTGGTGGTAACCAACCGAAAAAAAATTTTGATAATTACAGGTTGTACCTTTGAATTGGAATATTTACGCCATCGAAAACTTTAGGGTCTTGCTAAAAATACGGCACATCACTGTAACAAGCAAGAATAGGGAACCGTGAGTACCAAACCAATTATAACGGCAACGATATGCACGCTTTCGAAACAATAGATATTTATTTTGTCACGAATTATGTCATACGGATTACGAGATCTAAACTATCTCTCGGTTTTACGCAACTATTTATTGTTGGTTTAGGTTTCTCAGTCAATAATCGTTAAATCATTTCTACTTTACATGTATAACATTTATTTATAGATCACCTCTGATTTCTTGTCTGATTAACGTGTTTTGACACTACTCAATTGATTTGTAAGTTAAACACAAGTGATAATTATCAGCAATGGGTTCAAATAATGAGAACATACGATAACAAAATTAGAGTAGTTGAGGGCAGAAAATCCATAAAACTTCTAGCAAATCAGTCAAATAGAGTCATTCAGTAAGCAAGTAAAATTTTAGTATAAAAACTAAGTAATTCCCTATAATACTGTAATAAACTGTCACACAAAAACACTGTGTTTCGAGATCTTTAAAAATGTTTTGTGATTGTTAGTATGAAAAACTACTCATTATAACATTGGTTTTGGAAATATTTTTCTTCTTGAAGTTTAACTAAGATACTAAGATAGAATGAAACCCATTTGGCCCGACCGTAGCTGCTACCTTGACGTGGTGGTCGGGCTTGCCTATCGTGATGAACCAACCGAGCTATACTGGCTGGAACATATGTTCCTGCAGGTCCTACCATGCCAGGCAGGTCGATTGAAGAACGATCAGACTAAAAGCAGCTACTCAAGGTATGAGGGCGAAGTCGTACTGCTGACTGCAGAGGGGTGTGACAGCAGTAAGGTGTTTCCCTCGGACAACCAGCATCTGCAGCGATGCTGCCTTCTCACAAGGAAGGAAGGGTTAGAAAAGGTCGGCCCTAAAAATGTCACACCTCCCCTAACTCACGGATTTCCGTCTCCTTGGGTAAGGGTGCCCACTAAGAGCCTTTAAGAACGGAGCTAATCCTCAAAAAACATTTCTTAAAAAGGCCGTGCGTGACCGGCCTCAAGCAGTTGTCGCTTGGACTCTGCGGTCACGCACCCAGGTCTCTATGACCGACAATAATCTACCTTCCTTTTCAGGTCTCTCAAGAAACAACCTTCCACGGTGTGGGCAGCCGGGAAGTGACAACCGCCCTCATACCCATAACAGCACGCGAGACCAAATTGGTCGAAATCAAATCCTTCCTACACCCACACATACCTCTCGTCTCTCCACAACTAACTGTACTCACATTCCCTTATCTGACTGCGCCGCTTATGCAAACGATGCGAGTTCACGAAACGTCATTCCTGGTCTCTTGAAACCTCGTTCTAGTCTACATGTTGGAGCATTTAATGTACGGACATTGTGTCAAATAGGCTGGTAACTTTAATGCTCAAGAAGATAGACTAAGTGAAAAGGAAAGACACCTAGGTGGATGTTATGGTGTTGCGGCTCAGAGAACAGACAATAGTGACCGTCTGTTGCAAGTATGCTCAGACAACCGCCTATTCTTAGCAAACACTAACTTTAGGCATAAAGAAAAGCATCTGTTGACCTGGCGACCTCCAAAGTCGTCTCAACGTTGGACGCAACTAGATCATATCGCCATCAGCCACCGATGGAGAGGTTCGATAGAAGACTGTCGCTCGTTCTGGGGCACATGTTTAGATTTAGATCATGCCCTAGTGCGAGCGCGTATTTGTTTGAAGTTTACTGGGCGTAGGAAAGACGCCGTAAGAGAGCCTCTTACGGTTTCACTTAATGATAATAAGGCGAAGAATATATTTCAGGAACAACTAGAAAGACAGTTAGGCGACCATTTAAGCGATTCCCATCCAGAAGCAGGATGGAATGATATCAAAATGGCTGTGGAAACAGCAGTTATATATGCTAGTAAGGTTGACCATAAGGCTAAAATGAAACCGTGGATCTCAGTAGCATCCACCGATCTGATGGATGCCCGAAAACTCATCCCACCTGTCTCTGAACATGATGAAGAACAAAGTCAACTTAGGCGCAGACTTATAAAAAGCCTACGTAACGATCGCGAACAGTGGTGGGTGGCGAAAGCAAAAGCGATGAAAAAGGCAGCGGCGATCGGCAACAGTAGACAACTTTTCCGACTTATCAAGCTGACTGGTATTAGGAATCCTAGTGTAAGTGAGACTATCTCAGAAAATGACGGGACTATTATTTATTCTCAATCCAGGAGACTGGATCGATGGACAGAACACTTTAGGGATCAGTTCAACTGGCCTCGAGCCACTCTTCGGTTACCAACGATCTCCAGTCATCCTGAATGGCAAATCGACGTAAGTCCGCCTAGTCTTAATGACGTTGAGAAAGCGTTAGGAAATCTGAAACGAGGACGAGCTGCAGGTCCTGATAGATTGGCCCCTGAGATTTTTAAGGATGGTGGTCCAGTTTTGGCAGCTAGGTTGACTGAGATCTTATGTAGAATCTAGGAACTGGACGTAATCCCATCCAACTGGTCTCAATCACTGATTGTCCCAATCTATAAGAAAGGACAAAAGTCTTCTTGTGACAATCACAGGGGAATAAGTCTAACTAATATAGTATCTAAAATATTGTCCTCAATAATACTTCGAAGCCTAACGAAAGCTCGTGAAGAGCAAACTCGGGAAAACCAGTCTGGTTTTCGACCTGGACGTGGTTGTATAGACCACATCTTCACACTACGACAGGTCCTGAAACACAGACACACATTTAGGCGTCCTACAATAGTTGTGTTCCTGGACCTAAAAGCGGCATTTGACTCAGTGGATCGTGAGGTTCTGTGGCAGTGCCTGTCATTGAAAGGTGTACCAAAGAAATACATTAGCCTCATACAAGCTCTCTACTCGAATACCACCGGTCGAGTGAGAGCTTATGGCGAACTGTCATCGGAATTCTCTACTTCAAGTGGTGTGCGTCAGGGATGTCCACTTTCCCCATCCTTGTTCGATTTTGTCACAGACATGCTGCTAGATATAAGATTATCTTTGTCCGACTATTCTAAAGTTAACATTCTACCAGGAGGCTCGCTTATTGAGTTATAATATGCCGATGACATGGTCCTATTCGGTGAAGACGCTGACAAAATGCAGAGTCTTCTGACCACCCTAAGCAACAATGCAAGCATGTTCGGCATGCGGTTTTCCCCCTCGAAATGCAAAATGTTGCTTCAAGATTGGGTTGCATCGGCACCTGAACTAGTGATAGGGAGTGAAGTAGTCGAACGTGTTGACCGCTTCACTTATCTTGGGAGTCTCATCAGTGTCGATGGCCTGGTGACTGACGAAATCTCGGCACGGATACAGAAGGCTCGATTGGCTTTTGCAAACCTGCGTCACTTATGGCGTAGGCGAGATATCCTTTTGCTGACTAAAGGACGAGTGTACTGCGCAGTGGTTCGCTCCGTCTTACTTTATGGCTGTGAAACATGGCCAATGAGAGTAGAAGATATTCGTAGGTTACTGGTTTTCGATCATAGGTGTCTTCGAAGCATTGCTCGCATATCGTGGGACACCCGATTGAGCAACTCTGTTATTAGGACACGGGTGCTAGGTAAGGATGGCAGATCCATTGATGAAGCAGTGAAACTTCATCAGTTGAGGTGGTTGGGACATGTGTTGCGTATGCCCAACCACCGACTGCCTCGCCGAGCTTTGTTTTGTAGTGTAGGAATAGGTTGGAAGAAAGTTAGGGGCGGCCAAATCAAAACATGGCAGAAATCCATGAAGTCATTGACGAGTGGACTTAGCCATGCCGATAATTGTCGACTACCTGGTTGGGGTCCGCGAGATGATAATAATCGATGGTTAGAGACCTTGAATGACATGGCTCAAAATCGTTCGCAATGGTGTTCTCTCAAATCCTAATCTTCTGGGTTCTTCAACAACTCTGGTTTTGACTTTCTAAACTTTTCTCATTTAATCATACTTCTTGAATAATATCTTCTAATCCTAACCTCTCCGATTACTCCTAATACCTTCACTACCTCTTCTACTATTGGATTTGAATTGACAATTACATCTCTGTGCTGATGTGGTATGGCGACATGAACTGATGTACTTACGTACAAAGTTCTACGTTGCATCTGACTGACTGACTGAAACCCATTTGGCCCACCAAATTCATACTAACATTGGATTGGATGCTCCTAACACAGAAACTAGACCACATTAAACCAGATACACGATAGAGAACCATAGTTAATAACAAACAATATTGTATTCCATACGACTACGTGCAGTCACTCTAAGTAAATACGGAGTAGAAATCAATAACAGGAAAGGAAACCGCAAATGTAATAGCCAGCACGCTGCGTTTATTTGTTCACACCCAGCTGTCAACTACATTTCTCCCTACTACTACACACCACCACTGTTCTTCAACTAAAAGTTCTTAGAATAATTTAACATAATAAAATCTCAAGCGGACATTCAAATCTATTCCAAACCATGGAAATGTCAAACTTTACTAGAAATAAAGAGTTTAGTCACTCAATCTAAATCAAATGTATTATTACCAAGTTAGTGATTCATGAATAATTTTTAAGTCAGTATTTTACACCAACACACAATTTATAAAACTTAAGTGTGAAAGTGAACAACTATCATTGAAAAATATGATAGTTTAATAAAAAGAGGACGACGGATGACACGACTCAAATGACTATAATTAAAATACATTATTGAGACTCATCGCATCATTCAAATTTACCTTTATTGGAAAAACAAAGATTACATACCGAAGGCTGTGAAAAAAATACCAAGAGCTTAAATTATGTCATTATTTAAGCGAATAAACTTCAAGATAATCACATCAAAAATACTATTTAGCATAAAAAAACAGCCTGATGTCCCAGACAATCATGGAACAATTGGAGAATGCTACACTTACTTTTTCAAAATAGTGAGTTTCAGTCAACAATAAGTTGATGATTTGACCAGTTGTTGAGTATGTCAATGCTTTCTGGTTAAGCCGAAGTATCTACCAAATAAATTTAATGCAAAGAAAAAACCTTCTTAAAGACCAAGCCACATGTTGCAGTCCGAACGCGTGCTCCTAGACGACCCAAAATCCATTGGGAACTATTTACGGCCGCTATCGACATAATGGTACTTAAAACATATGCAGTGATAAAGACAATGGTTCTGAATATACTTTGGTGATTTTCGATGCCACTAAACGCTCTTAAGATTGCTTGTAAAATAAATGGTCTCGCTAAGCAACTGCCTAACTGTAAACGGAGTAACATAAACTATAGAAATTACGAACTTCAAGTGCCATGAATAAACCTGAAATTAGTAACTCCTTCTTAAATGCTCTGATCACCAACCACAACAGCTCTAGGTTTTCCCTATTATTTTCTGACTCCCACTCTCTAGTAAGATTTTTGGGTTTTAAATTGGAAGAAATATTACCCAGCTAACTTTTCTGCATTCCGATCAGCCTTCTCACCATCAGGACATAAATATATATCATCAACTGTTAAGAGATTTTGACTTGAACGAATGAATAAAGGATTGAGCCATTTAAAAAATGTTTTTGAGAATATATTTGCTCTATCATACGGCGCTCTCCTATCCTCCGTTTTCCCCATTTTTGTGAATACCAAACTACGCGGTCGGTGAAAACGAAAATAACCTAAGACACTTCAATTCTTTCTACTGGTAGAAACAAATTTCTAAGCGACATTCAACCTTTTTCATCAGTAACATTCATTTATTTGAAGACACTCTAACTGTTAAAGTTTTATCAATGATTAACGTTTGAGTACCAGCCTAAGTAGCACTATTTCTTTGATAAAAACCAATCTTTTAAAAATTACTCGATGATGATCATGATGTGTTAATCCAGAAAAAATATAATCATGGAGCTTACCGTATAGACTAGTGGGATGTAATGACCAGTCTATGAAGTCAATTAGTCTGGTGCGGTAAATAAATATTAAAGTCAATTCACAACATCGATGCTGGCCTCATAGCTTTTAGTGAACGAACCACGCTGAGTGAGTCCAGTCGCTCGTCTACATCACTGTGAGGTGTGCTGTGCAAGATACCTCATTACCTTCACTTCTCGACATTCCAATCACCATTAAAATATGCCTTCAATCCTCTTCATTCCTAACTGCCGGCTTGACTTGTCTTTGAGTTTCATCGATCTGAAAGACACTACGGACAGTAGCGATGTGTAAATCTGAATACGCGTGACAGTCTTAAGTCTGTATCACTGCGTACTATATTATCCGTTGGTGTAGTATTTTAACTTTCGAGCACCGAAGTTATTTTATCTTCTCCACTTGTTCTCTCTCGTACACACTTTTCCTAGCCAATTATTCACATGTAACTTTCAGCACGTATGTAAAATGATATATTCCTTGCATTCAAGATCTTAAACCACCCACTAATTATTCCAACCACTAAAATGTTTTATTCGCATTTTTAAGCGACTGATGACTATTTTTATTAGCTTACATTTTGAAATGTGCTCTCACACATGCCCTTTCAGCAGACAAGTAACTTTTCTTATACAGCTTTTTTACTCACGTTGTCCAGCAAGCTCACCAAGCATCAAAATCCCTTCAAAATTTCGAACAAAAATAAATTTATGGTAAATATCAATCATTCATTTTATGGAAGTTTTGTTGTTCGTAGACACGGACGGCGACTGGTTGGCAGTGAGGTTTTGCAAGTGATTACTGTTAGTTATGTCAACCTACTGACAACATTCAATGCATTAGTTCCTGACTTTTAACAACACCAAACACGCGGAACGTTGTATACATGCCTTTCTGTTCAGCAATATAAAATAGCATATTTAAGGTTAAAATCACTATCTGACATTAGCCAGACCACCAGTGAAAACCCGAAACCATTAGACGTTATTCCGCCCTAGGATTGGACACCTCAGAACTGAACAACCACGACTCCACCTGCGGAAATCGAACCGATGGTCTCAAGCGCGAACGCTTAGCCTTTAGACCACTCAGTTGACGTCCAATGCTGATAATGTACAACTTTAATCGATCCATGATGCTTCCTATGTCAAACACAAATATTGGGGGTGTATAGCAGTAATAGTGCATATTTCGGGGTTGTTAGACTGCAACTACCATCTAAAGTAATAGTTTCGTGGACAGAAAAGCCACTCAGTGATTTACAAAAACATGTTTCCCAAAACTATAAACTGCCATTTTAACTGGAGAAATCTATCCAGCTATCTGAATCACGATTACATCGAAAAAACAGTAAAACACTATGATATACTCTTTGGTACTACCATAATAATGTCACTGAAAAAATGCTGAAATCTTCGTTGTTACTTTCCCGCTTATTTCCTGCCTGCAGAAACAACATACATACATAACATACATACATACATACATAACACTGACTAATCACTACCGGATTCCCGACGTCCAAGCTAAAATTTAGATAACAAATCCCTCTAGATGTCCTTGGATTATGCATTAAACGGCCTGGAAGCTAGTCAGATAAATTGTTTATATTTGAGATGTTCTGAATATCAACCTGCAGCATCAAACACCGCCCCAATTATAAATTTGCACAGAAACTTGGAAATGGCAACAAACTAATAATCTTACTAGATACCAACTGTAGAATATGATCAGCATAGTAGCTATATAAAACACCCTCCTTACTCGAAATTGTTAAATCGGCATTTTGGGTCATTTATTCCTATTCCCATTCGTAAATATTATTCAGCTTAAATCATACTACATTCTTCAGCGTTTTTCATCTCAGTATCCGATCTTTTGAAGTCCATGATATTTGTAAATCAAGCTTCTTATAGCTTAACTATACCCACGATTTTCGGTTTATATCTTTACAGGATAGTTTTGTCCTATTTATTTTCATATCCTTAAGTGCAAATTTTCTTCAAGACGTTTTATCGAACACAATATTTGTACCAATCTACCTTTTAGCTGTTGTGAAATCTTTAATACATGGCTTTTCATACACGTGTGTGTACGCTGCAAAAAATCAATTCATAAGTTTATTTAATGCAACAACAGACTATTAGCTTATTCATTAGCGCATTTTCGATTCATTCGTTTGCGCAGTACATTTGTTTTTGGCCCCGACCGATAGAGATTTTCCATTAAGTTTGCCGTTTCCGTTTTCTCAATGAACCGCTCCCATTACTCGAACTTTATTGATCTTCATAGCTCTTGTTTTTATCAACTGCTTTGACTAGGCTACAGTCAACTGCTTTTCCGGCCCAGATTAACGTTGTTTGAAATGATCGGTTTTAGATACTGTTGGAAGGCAGGATTATGTTTCCATATTGATCAGTGATGCCATTAATCCAATATCCAATATCTTTTTCACGAGCTAGTATAAACCGATTGATTTCTCTGTGCTCGATTCTTGTTCTTTCAGTACGGTTCCAGGTGTTCGGTAGTGTCCAAAGAATGGGGGTCTAGCCACTCGACTGTCTAATTCTAGTCAGTTGGCAGTTGGTCGTGAGTTTGTATGCCTCGGGATTTAAATGAAAACGTTTGTTTCAGGGCAATAGGGTTTCTGGATATCAGCAGCTATCACATTACCAGACCTGAGATCAGTTAGTTGCAATGTGGGAATAATAAGGATAAAATTCAAAAGCTAATACGAGTAAAATTTCAGAACTAAGTAATATATAAGTGAATTTAGCCTATTCATTGGTAGTGAAGAATGTGAGAGAGGACCGAAGTGTAGGAGAGGGAGAGAAAATGAAGAGTTGCACTTGCCTTGGTTGCGTCCCCTACATAGCTCGGACTCGTGTGAAGGCTTTATGTGGTTATTAAACCGAGATCATGCTCTGAGGAGACATTATGGAGCGGACTTCCATTGAGGGTATAGATCGTTTGAGTCATGTGAGGCAGAATATGCATGACGTGGCACTTCGGTTGGTTGAGTTTTAAACCGTTTTTCACTGCCCATTCCTCAATAGACGTAAGGTTCTTCTGAAGCTCAGTCGAATCCTCTTCGCTTCTAATAGACCTCCAGATCTTCGCATCGTCTGCGTAGATCAATGCCCGTGAGCTAACTGAGCCTAACAGGTCGTTAATAAATATCAGGAAGAGAAGTGGGCCTAAGATGGTCCCCTGTGAAACTCCCGATGTGGATACTCGCCAGCTCGTGTGCACTCTATTTACCTTGGTAAGAAACTTTCTATTCTCAAGATAGTTTCTGAGCCAAGATAGGAGTGGGTCTGTGAAGCCCATTTCCACAACCTTTGCGATTAGGCATGCGTGGGGCACTGTGTCAAAGGCCTTTGCAAAGTCGAGAAGTATTACGTGTGCCGGTACTTTACGGTCCAAACAGGATGTCCATCTGTCCCATGCAATGAGGAGATTAGATGCACACGACCTGCCTTTCCGAAACCCGTGTTGAGCTTCATGGAGTATTTTATTCTTTTCCATGTACTCCCTCATTTGTTCTTTCACTAGCCCTTCCATTACCTTTGAAACTATTGGAACATGCTGGGTCTTTTCTATCTCCTCGTTTGAAGATTGGAGAGAGTAGCTTGTTTCCATTCAGCTGGGAATTGGTGTGACTCCAGTGGATGCCTGAACAGGTCGCATATCGGTGAACAGAGGACTTCTGCACATTGTTTCAAGACTATGGGGCGAATTTTGTCAAAACCTGGTGACTTACTTGGGCGTAAGGATCTTAGTTTCCTTAGTACTAAGTCAGGAGTGATACGGATGTTGCCTAAACCGTCAGCTGGCACAGGGTTGGTGTAGTACTCTGAACATGTAGGTGCCTGGTTTAACTGCTCAGTAAAGTTAGTGTTGAAGATTTCAGCCATCTCTAGGTTGGTGAGGTCTTCTCCGTTCGGGCCTTTGAAAGAACACAACCCTTGATTAGAAGTTTTCTTTTCGACATGAACCTATACAGATGCTTCGAGTCTGCCTGTATTTTGGCAGCTAACTTCATTCGAAATTGTCTTCTATCACTTCGAACTTGAGTATTGTATGTGTTTCTTAATGCCAAGTAAGAACTGCGATCGGAATGCTTCAAGGAGACCTTCCAATGTCTAGAACCCAATTTGAAGGCTTTGTTTTGGGAAAACCCCTCCATGTATATATTTGTAATATGTTATTACTGACTCTTTTTGTGCTACATTTTGGTACTCTGTTTAATCTGATTTTGTGTGGCTAACATTTATAACATTTGTCATAGTTTCTATTATTTGTACCTTTATTGGAGTCTCTATATTTTCTACTGAACTCTATTATGTTGTTTAAACTGGTACTCAATTATGGCTACAGCCATATCGAACTTGACACTCTGGCAGGTGAAACGTACGTCTGGACTGGAACGGTGCAATTTTGGAACTAAACGGAAGCATTTTTCCAGAATTGGAAACACACTGTGTTAAATTCGGTAGAGAACAATGTAATATTGTTTAGGTAATTATCTCTATTATCTTATTAATAATAAAACCCTTTCTTATCTAAATGAGTTGCTTTCTTTCTGGATTAACTGGGAAAGGTGCGTATCTAAACTTCTAGAACTATTCTTTCGAATTCAAAAGCCACTCAAAAACCTTACAACTTGTACCAGGCTCTCCTCTTCGCCTGTAGCAAGCGTTCAGTGCCGTACCTAACCCAAGTTCTTC